GGGCCGGGCTGCTGGCCCGCCAGTGGGCCGGCATGGGCAGCAGTGCTGAGGCCACGGAGGAGCCCCCCGACATATCCTGGACCGTGGCCCAGCTGTACCACCTGCTCGCCGAAGAGAAGCTGTGCCCGGCCCCCATGCGGGACGTTGCCTACCGGGCAGCCCTCCACGTTTTCAGCTCCAGGGATGACCCCCGGCTCAGGGAGCTCCAGGAGGAGGCCCGGAACCGGTGCGGGTGGGACATCGTGGGGGACCCGGGGAACTTCCAGCCGCTCCACTCTGCCCTGGGCTGCCTCCCGCCATCCTCCGCCTCGCCCTCTGCGGAGCGCAGCCACCCTCAGCCCATCGAGGACCCCTTGGGCTGGAGCAGAGGCTGCTCCCTCCGGTCCACCGGCAGCCCGGCTTCCCTGGCCAGCAACTTGGAAATTAGCCAGTCGCCCACCATGGCCCTCCTTGGCCAGCACCACAGCCCTCGTGGTCCCAGCAGGCTGTGTGATGAGCCCCCGGAGCCCCAGCCTGTCCCCGCAGGCCCCCAGGAGCCCGAGGAGATGAGCTGGCCCACATCGGAGGAGATTGCTAACACCCTGGTGCCCTCCGATAGCCCAGCCTCCGGGCTGCCTGAGGCGGCCTTAGATGCGAGCCCAGCTGGCCCGTCCAACGCCTCTGAGGCTCCAGGCACCAGCACCCACTACCCAGTGGAATGTACGGAAGTGACACCATCCCCCACGTCTCTCCCCTCGCCCTGCAGAAACACCTGCCTCGCCAAGGACCAGGTGCCACTACAAGTTCCCGTGGAAGATCCTACTTCCCCCGCAGCCCAGCTGTGCCCACCCACCTCCTCGGCCCCCGAGACGTCCCCTCCCAATCCTTCCCCATCGGCTCCTCGCTCAGCTCACCCGGCCTCCTCCTCCTCCTCCTCGAGCCCGTGTCCCCCTTCTCCAGAGTTCGAGCCGTCAGAGCAGCAGTTCTTTAACTTCGTGGTCCTGCACGCCAAGGCGGATGAGCACATCGCCCTGCGTGTCCGGGAGAAGTTCGAGGCCCTGGGTGTGCCCGACGGAGCCACCTTCTGCGAGGATTTCCAGGTGCCTGGGCGCAGCAGCCTGCGCTGCCTGCAGGACGCCATAGACCACTCGGCCTTCACCGTCCTGCTGCTCACGGCCAACTTCGACTGCTGCCTGAGCCAGCACCAGCTGAGCCAGTCGCTGATGAGCAGCCTCACGCGGCCAGGGTGGCAGGACTGCGTGGTCCCTTTCCTGCCCCTGGAGAGCTCCCGGGCCCAGCTCAGCCCCGACACGGCCAGCCTGCTCGCCGGGCTGGTGTGGCTGGAGGAGCGCTCGCAGATCTTTGCCAGAAAGGTAGCCAACACCTTCAGGCCTCACAAGCTGCGGGCTCGCAAGGCCAACTGGAGGAAGGAGCAGGACGCCCGGGCCCTGCGGGAGC